TGTGCTGTTGGTCTTCAAAGGCTGATCCCCACTGAAGAGCCTGGCATCTCTCTGTGTGTGATGTCCTTGATGTGTGATGGATGCAGCAGAAAGCAGTGCTTGCTTAGGATCCCCAAGAAAATACAGAAGAGGAATTAATGTCAAGGAACTGTCAGTAAACTGCATGAGTAGCTTCTTCAGCATGGCAGAGTGCAGGGAGAAAAGTAGGTGAGTTCAGGCTCCTCATAGACATATTTCCATCATCTAAATATCTGAGTGAAATGAGTACTAGGGTATAGGAAAATCAGCATTTTGTTAATTTTTCAAAGAAAGAATGGAAAAGAGATATGGGTGACTTTTGGGGTGGGGAAAATCATTCCATTTCACTCAGTCTGAAATTGGTAGGGGTGGTTTCCATCCCTTTCAGCAACAGCATATCTCAGTACACAAATAAAAACAAGAAAACCAAAACTAATACACGTTTTTGAAAGAATCTGTACAAACACATCAACAGTATGAATGAAAATGTATTGAAAGTGGCTTCAAAAGCAGCTCAAAGTAAGCCATGAGAAAACTTCAGAAGAAGAAAGCCTCTCTGTGTGACAGAATTGAAGACAAAAAAAAACCATCAAGGCAACTCAATAACACTGTAAATGGTGGAGACAGATAGACCTCTGCTTAATCTTGGTGCAGCTTGGAAGCAGTCAAGGAAGCTGTTGCACACAGTCTGTGAGAATTTGGAACTTAGGCCAGTGTATCTGGACTATGCAAAGACTGCAGTGAAAGTCAGGCATCAGTTAGAAAATGCAATTATCCTGTGTGGCTACCGAAATGAGCATTAGCTGAGAGGCTGGAGCACAGGGACGTTGGCAGGGAGAAGGGCTTGTGGCAAGGCAGACAAGGCCACCTGTGCCCAGAGGAGGAATGGCTGTGTCCCTCAGGGTGCAGCACTGGCTTTGATTGACTCCTCATGCCATCAGATCATCAAAGGTTACCACACCACTGCTGGGACAAGCTGTAGCAAGGGAATGGAAAATGTCAGAGATCATCATGGTATTATTCCTTAGGTGGTAGCAGGGACCACAAGCCATAGCACCACATCCAAGCTCTCAAACATCAAAACCCTGTGAAACTAAGACAGTGCAAGGCAATGAAAACTTTACCCAGAGACTGATGGGCACCCTCAGTGCCACCAGGCAATGACATTTGAATTTAGTCGACATTTCCAGGACTGGGGCCAGTGCCCTTGTGAATGCAGGGTGGAGACAGGCTGGATTGTGCACTGCAAGGTGTACATCTTTCTCAAGCCACTGCTCCTGATGGCACAGTGAAACCAATCTCGTGCTTATAATATGCAGAAGTGATGACACTTCTGGAGTTAAATTACCTGCCAGGACAACTTGGGGGTAGTACAGTATGAGCACCCAACATAAAAACAAATCCATACTGTGGATTTGTGCTCATCAGCACTTAGCTCAAGGCTAAGTCCTGATCCTATCAGCTAGATGTTTTCTTTAGACCTGTCTTTTAATACTTCAAACTATAAAACAAACTCTCCTAACAACACTCACAGTCCTCATCTGAAGCCCAACATCACTACTGACATAAACAGATTAAAAAAGAGCAATGCAGATACAACAGATATTAGTCCAGTCACGTAATGGGCAGGCAGTCAAGAGGGCTAGAAGGATATATCCTGACTGCACAAGTAAACCTAAGACTTTGTGTTGTAGTCAGTCATTTTAAACCCAGTACCTTGCTAGGATCTCTGGGGCCTGGGAAGCATGGAGGAGATCCAGAGAAGCTCGGGAAGCATTGGCCTTACATTAGCACTGTCTGAGGCATGGTTACGTGGTTCCCTTCTCTCTCCCCTTCACATTCCCTGTCACAAGAGGGTGATCTTCACCCCTGGGAACAATAACAGGTTTAACTCCCCTGGGCCTGGCACATGTCCACCATGAGGTTACCCTGTGCAGGGGTATTTACTGCCCATGTTGGCAGCTTCAAATCTATTGCTTGATTGCTGAGCCTTGCCTCCCACAGTGGAAACCCAGCCTGTTTGAAACCCTTTAAACATATGCTATATTGTTTCAGGTGTCCAAAGTTTTATTTTACTTCTCTAGTAAATATCTTCCAGCTCCTAAATGAGAACTCTGGGAAAACTGCTCCCACAATGCAACTTAAAAATCACCCTGCAGAGACCTTACGTTCCTCAGCTTAAATCCAGCCTTCGGTGTGTCTTGAGTTATGAGGCTGTCCAGACCACTAATAGAGGAGCAGGGGAATTTACACCGAAAGGAATAAACAAGCCAACAATAAAAATAACCATTTATCTCTTCTTCCTCCCCAGTGTCTTACTCAAAAGGTCACTGTGTTCTTTCATGGAAGCAAAGCTCTATAATGTGAGTTTAGGCACTTTAGGCTAAACCCCAGAGTACTCACTTTTCCCCAAGTAACTTTGGTGGATTTTTAGTTCGATTTTTTTTTCCTTGGATAAGGTCTAAGAAATAACCAGGTTCTCCAGAGCAGAGCAGGTAGTCAGGTCAGTGGAGCACATGCTGAGGGGCTCCCCTGTTGACCTGGGGTGGCTCATGGCATAGTGCCAGCCTCACTTCCCTCCTCTTCTTCAGAAGAGGTTTGCCTGCAATAGCCTCAGCTCAGTGGACTAAAAATGCAGGTTGCAGGAAGGTACATCTAGCTCCCTGCATTTCCCTCCTCTTCTTCAGAAGAAGTTTGCCTGCAATAGCCTCAGCTCAGGTTGCAGGAAGGTACATCTAGCTCCCTGCAATCTTACACAAGGGCTGAACAGGCAGGCAGGTTTCCCCTGCACAGAAAGCAGCTGGCAGTGCCCAGTGGTCAGTTTAGGAAAGCAAACCTCTGCCCATGTCATCATGGCAGCTTGTTTTGCCAAGCAGAAGGTGTAACACCATCTAAAAAGATGTATAACTGTTTAGGAAGAGCAGGACATGCATTGCTCCCCAAAAGATTTTCTCTTGCAGATCTTCCTGTAGATATCCAAGTGCCTTGTAAAGATGCCATTTCATGGGACAGCTACTGCCTTTGCTCTCATTTCAGTGAGATCTGGCCACAAGTTTCTCCCTAAAATTATTCTGCAGACAGGACAAAGCATTTTATAGGGTTCAGTTTGGCTCAGAAGTTGTTTGGGATTGCCTGGAATTTTGGAAAATGCTGATCCTGTAGCTCAGGGTCCCTGGCTGCAGTGACATTGTGCAGGCGTCCTGCTGTCTTCCCAGGTTCTGCTGCTAGAAAAAATAATACCCCATGCTTCTCCTGCACTTCCAAATCCTACAGCATGTTTTGTCAATGTCCACCATTGTTTAAAGCCCCTCTGGACTCCTGCTGGGGACATTATTTCCCTCCAAGTTTCATAGGCAGCAGGGGTTTCTTCCTGGTTTTAAAGGGGGCTCCCATGGATCATGAATAACCTGTGATGTTGCTAACACAAGCCTTACCCAATTGTACTGTAACACACACAAGAGTTCACATCTGAAAATCCAACTGGCAGCCTGAGACATCCGTGGGCATTTTGAAATGCTCTGAATCCAAGAGAGGAGACTTGGCTGGTCATCCCAAGAAACCACCGTGCACAAAGCAGTTCCAGTATGAGTAGCTCCAATATGTTTGCTGGAAAATCACGTCTTTCTGAAAGTTTGCTGAACATTTGCTCATTCTTAGTCCTCAGAGGCCGTATTTGGTCTGTGGTAGCTTGGGCCAGGCACATGCAGGCATTTCCCCATGGTCAGGCTGAGCTGACTTGTATCAGGGCACCCTGGAGGAAGTCAGAGCAGGCCAAGCACCCCTCTGCAGAGGCATGTGTGTGTCACCATGGCACAGGAGACACGTTTAATGTTTATCAGCTTTGCCTGTACCACATCTAACATCTCCTCTTTTCCCTTTTTAAGCACAGAAGATGGGAAAAGGGATTTATTTTATTTAACACCCTAATAGAACAATTTATATAAATAGTTTACAAAACAAGTGGGTGCAATTTATCAGCAAGATGGATACAAAGAAAGAGCCTTCCAGTCCAATGGAGGAAAATATTCACCATAATGAATACACACACAATAGGTACACCACGTATCCACCTCAAACTGATTAATGAACCAAAAAATTTACCCCTTGTAAAAGGGATAAATAAAAAGCTTTTCAGTGACTGTAAAATATTATCCTTTTTTTTTTTTCTGTAAAAAGCCTTAATAACAACATCTCTTTCTCTGCCACTCTCAAATACATTGACCTGAAGGATTGGGGCAGATCATAGGGCAAGGGTTTGAGGATTTTACTCCTCCTTTTGCACTGATTGATTGTGTTAACAACCAAGGCAAGTCAGAATTCTGCTACATTTCATAGTTTCCCTTTTGTAAGTGGGATAATATTTCTGACTAGTTTTTGCAGAGCAGTTGGAGATCTTGGGGAGGAAGCAGATATTTAAATGCCCTATGTTATTATTTTAGGCCCTGATTCAGGAAAACATACATGTTTAAATACTGCTGCTTTAATGGGTTGCGAGCACCTATTTTAGGCTAAGCTCACATTGATGTGGTCTTTCTGAAAAAGCTGCCCTAAAACTTTTAATTATCCCTTTATAAATATCGCCCGTTGAAGCTTATTTTAAAAGATAATTTCTAAAATACAGGGGGAAAGTAGTGAATTAATGGCAGCTCAGCATATTGAGGCATTACCTTTCGTGCTTTACTCAGATGAAAGACTCAAGCAGGAGTACCCATGCCTTTTTGATTAGATGCATGCAGCAGGCTTTGGGTCCCCTTCAAAGATCCTTGGGCCGTATGGAGCCAGGAGCAGCTCCGCATTGACATCGGGGGGAAAAATAAAATCAAACTCTTTTCCTCAGAGCCTGACTTCTTCCCCCAGCCCCCCCTCCCCTCCCTCTCGTATTTGTATATATTTCGAGAGGAGAGTCAGGCTTAGCTTGTTCACAAACTGCAGTTCCTGGGCGGACCCCACGCACAGCTGGGCTGTAGCGGCTGGATCCGCCTTCCCGGCAAGCCGGAGCCGGGAGCCTCGCTAAGAGGGGCTCCGGGCTTGACAGCAGAAAGGCAGGAGACTGGCTGCACCGAGGGAGGATGAGCTGGTCACCGCCGTGAAGCTGGGCTTCTGCTTGCCGGGGGGATCCAGAAATGGGCTACTGCAGGAGACCGGGTCTGCTTTCCTTGCTGCTGCTCTCCTTGTGTGAGTAGAAAAATGTTTCTGGTCAGGCAGTGTTTTAAGCAACATACTCAGAGAGGTCGTTTATTTTTCCTTCCTCCAGCAAAACAGCTAATCTTTGATTTCTCCCCTGACAGCAATTAGCCAGAGGATTGGAAATAGCGGAGAGTTTAGTTGAATACTCTGCTACGGCTGCATGAGCTGCGTATTTCTCCTATGGCGAGGGGCAAGCGATTGCTTGGTGGAAAGTGCTGTGTGCTCACTTGGAGCAGCTCGCAGATGTCAGTGTTTACAGTGCAAAAATATATATAGGTCAGCATTACTTGTTGGAAGTTTTTATTTTATTGAGGGAGATTAAAAGCAACTGAAGTGCGCCGCTGAACGATCTGGCTTCGACAGTGTCCAGATGTGGTGAGGTTTGCAGCTTAGAACTTTTATCAGCCCTGCTTTATGCGCAGAATTAATCGAACTATTAAAGAAGGAAAGAAATGGGGAGAGGGGGAGGAGAAGTGTCTTTGCAACAACATCTGGTTATTCGGCAAACCTTTCCAGCACTTACGTAAAGACCTCTTTGTAATAAGTGCCCTGTTTCAGTTTTGATAACACTTCTTCAATACTGTAGATAAAACCCTCCAGCAGCACTTGAAAATGTGCCCATCCGTGGTTTAACTTTTTCTTGTTTATATCTTGATGATTGTTTCATAACAAGGAATGGATTTGTATATAAGTGAGTGTTATATACACATCTTCTAAGTATGTGTGTGTGCCTTTCTGTATATACAGAGTCTGTGTATGTGTATACAGGCATATATCCCTAAAAAGCATATATTTATATATTTGCATGGACACTACTTTTAAAAGTGAACTCTTACAAACACAGACCTGTTGCCCTTGCTATGGAAATTTCAATACAACCAAAATCACTTTGTGCTCAAAGGAGGAGGAGGATTATAATTCCAATATTTTTGCATCCAAATGAAATCACTGGGGGCAGGGATCTGTATCTGCATTCACTTTACATGGGTCCCCCTATCTACAAGACTAGGGAATAAAAGAATGGTCAGTAATTTGTGTGTAGGCAAACAAAACCATGGGTGCAACTGTTGAAGCAGAGAGAACCAGATGGGGAGATTTAGGACATAGTATCTGGTTGATTTTTCAAAGTTACAGAGATCTATAGTATTCATTTCTGTAGATAATACCCTAAAGTGTGGTTTGAAATGTAGCATGGTATACTGGTAACATCCTGCTAACTTAATCACATTTGGAGCAGGAATTACTACAAACTATTATTTAAAGGACAGTCTTGGGTTGTTTTTGGTAAGAAAGAAGACCACTAACTATCCTTCAGAAATCCCTAATTTTGGAGTTATTTAACTTATGGTTTCCTTTTTCTGAAAGGCAAGGTTAAAACCTTGAAAGAAGCCAAACCAAAACATATCACCATTACTAAGTTCATCTGAAAGGTTATATGACTGATATGATGACAAAATTTGCCTCTGCACAGGATAACAAAAATAAGCCGAGGCTTGTTCTCTGTGATTCAGCTCACCAATGATAGATGTTTTCTGGGACTACATCCACTTCCTTTCATTTAATGTTAAGATTGACCCTACAGTCATTCTGAGAAAGTAAAAGTACCCAAGGAGGCCACTTCACATTGACATTAAAAGAGAAGGGAAGACCTTGGTCCCCAAATTCCCCAAATTGACAGAATATGCACATTCAGCTGTTCTTCAAGCAACAAATCATACCACTCATCAAGCCTCTCTTTAAAGAGTGACAGCGCTGCCTTGGTGGCAGCAGCAAAGTTTCTCCTCTTAGCACAGAGATTTAAGACTTGCCATAGGGAACATGGCGCAGAGCACTGAAAATCACCTACTGGATTTCCCTAATTCTCCATGGCCAGCCCTACCAAGGCTTCAAAATAGCCATCCTAAACTTCTCCTCGGTGGCAGTGCCTGCTGGAGGGCAGCAATTTCACATGGGTTTCTCAGCAGAAGGTGGAGACAGCAGCTGTAGTTTCACCACTGCTGACACAAACCCTCACACAGGTGAGCAGGGAATCCTTCCAGGACAGAGAGCTGGTGCAGTCCTGGACTTACCTGGACCAGGACAAAAAAAATGAGGATCATTCAGAATTGGAAAAGTGTCATACAGGGAGGTGGAGCTGGAGGCTTTCAGGGTCTTTGGGTTGGCCAGGAGAGAGCTGGGAGGTGAGCTGGCCATCTACAGCCAGGTCCTGGGAAAACCATTTCTGGCAGAGGGCTTCCTCTTCTATGGAACAGAGGTAAAACAAGATGTGCACACTGGAAGCTAAAATGGGGCACAACACAGTAAAGTTGTTCCAGCAGGTAGTTTCTGAGGATTAGGATGTGGTGGGTATTTGTTGCTCAAAGCCTTCAAGATTCCTGAAGGAAGTAGTCTTCCAAGCAAGACTACCTGCTTGGAAGTCTGTAACCTATACAGAAACTACAGATTTGATATCAGGATTACTGTATTGTGCACATGGAAACACTCTGGCCTTAAAAGTAGGAATTAGGAGTTTTCCTGCCCTGTTTTCTATTAATATTGGGAAATTATCCCTTGTGCTCCATCTGTCAGGAACAGGGCTCACATCCAAACAGGCATGGGGCTGTGCTCAGTCTCATCTCACAGAGGGGACAGCAAAGCATCACAGCTCTCTAACCTGTGGAGACTGCCTCAAGGACATGAGCTAAGTGTCACTGGTGTGACAACAGCTCTCAGGGCTGTGAAGAGCCCCAGGAGAGAGCCTTTGTGCATCCAACCTCCAAAAGAGGATATGAAACTTCAAATGTGCCAAGGCACGTAGCACTTACCAAGGGAGACAAGCTATACCCTTGTGCTCTGGTGAGGTTCCAAAGAAAGAGAAAGAAGATTTTTGAAATTAAGTGAGGTTGCAGGTCTGCTACTCCAAGTCCAGAGCTCCCAGTTCCTGGGGTTTGAGTCTGCTTCCCCACAACGAGGTCTCCTGTTAAAAATGCTGGTCCACTGAAATATTCTGACTTTTTTTCGCCAAGTCTCCTGGGCTCCCTTTGCCATGGTTGATGACTCTACAGAGAGTGCATTTGAGGGGTTATCTCCTGATAGATGGTGGCTTTCTGATGTCACATTCTCTTTCCTGCTTGCAAAAACTGTTCCCCCAGTGAGCCTCTTCAGCTAAATATATAGAGCATATAGAATTCATAAATCAGGACAGGGAGCTCCAGGGCTGTCAGAAAAGCATCTCTGGCTTTTGATCTTCCTAAGAAATCTCTGACCTATCCCAGGCTCCTCAGGCAGCTTGTTCAAGAAGTTGGCCTCTTATTTCTAAGGTCACCAGAGCTAAAACCAGAGGTTGTAGTGCCACCAAAATGCCAGCCCGCTCCTCAGGCTAGGGCTCTATTGGGATTGCAGCCCAACACCAATGCATGCGAAATTTAGGAACACTGGGTCAAACAGTGGGAGGACAAGGGAAGCAAAAAGACAAAGGAAGAGTCACTCTCCATTTCACAGGCATTTGCAGAAAGGAGCTCTGCAGGTCCAAAGACAAGGCAGAGCAGCAGAGCAAACCTCTCCTCCCAGGCCAAGCAGCACGTGAAGGTGGGCACTGCCCACCCCAGGACACAGGGCTGGTTATGACAGTCTGTGTCATATTGATTTAACACAGCCAAAATAAAGGAAGAAATTACCACCCTCAAAAAGCTCCGAGGGGCTACCAGAGCCCCACATTGGCTCGGTGTAGGTAGCTGAGTGGAGCAGGAACAGGATCCCACTGCCTGAAGGAGAAACTTGTGCATCCTACCATGAGGCTAAATAAGAACAAAGCTGCAGCAAATTCTCCAGTTAGGAAATAAAAATGGAAGACAGAAGAAAAACCCTGACATTGCAGAACTGGAGTGTTCTGCAATGTTCTAAGTGCCCTGAGACTCAGCAGGGAAAGTGATGGCTTATTTTCAATTCACCTTTACACACTTCCAAATCTGATGCTACGGTTTCAGTCCTTGGTGTGAATTAGATTAACTGAAGGTCAAGAAGAGTGGCAGTGTACAGCTATGTGAGATGAATGAAAACTGGTATTTCCTCTCCCCTAGCACCTCCAGCTTTGCTCAGACTTGAGACAGGCTAGTCATTGGTATAGCTAACCAACAGTAAAGCTTCACTCTGTATTTTAATAGGGGGCTTTGAGGAAAGAAATACTTTCTGAAATATTCGGTACAACTTGAAATTAAAACACAATTTTCTAACCAAAAAATCCCAACAACCAACACAAAACTGATGTATTTTACTGGTGTTATCACTGTTTAATGATGGCCCCAAAGACACTTTTGTGTACTAGTAGTAAATAAGTTCAGCCAGCTGCAATCACGATACTTGTTACTCCCATTAGAGACATAGTTCTGCACAGATGTATCCCACGTATTCACTGAATATGCAGAAAGCAAACACTGGCATTAAAAACAGGTGACTGGGGCCTTTTATTCTGAGAAAGAATTCCGCTCTACTGCCTGTACTCCGCAGCTTTATATTGCTCTGTGATTTGCTCTGTCGAGTTTATTTCCTCAGGACATTGTTTTCCTCTCCCCTTAGTGATAACTCTTTGCAATAACATTTGCTTTCAGCCAGGCTCCACAGTGCTGCAACTTGCCATAAACTAATGAACTCTCCCATAGACTGTCATGTTTTCAAGGAAGCGCAACATCTGATACTTTTATTAAAAAAAACAGTCCCACCAAGGAGACAAAATCAGCAGCTCCCACACACTCTGCTCTTTTCACATCCCGAGTTCAGTGCTGTGTGCCAAGTGAAAGCCTCGCACTGGAAGGGGCCTCCGTGCAGAAGGGAGATAACACCACTGATGGCTGCCTGCCCTATCAAGCCTACATTATGTCCCTGCTGGACCCCAACTGTGGGATAACATTTCCTTAGGGATCTTCAGGGGGAAGTGAAGGAGTGGCTGAAAGCTGTCTTGGCCCCGCTTAAATGCACATCCCTGAATTCAGAGTCAACTCTTGTGATCCTGC